AAACGACAAAAACGCTTAATTGAGGGCCTAAAGGATGGAATTTGCCCAAAATTTGACGTGCATCAGGGCCAAATGCCCTGACTTGTGATTATTGGCCCGTTTCCAATCAAATTAGACTAGCAATTCGTCAAAAACGAACAAACCCGAAATTAAATGAAATTATTATTTTTCCTTCATCACAGTTTATGTTGATAATTTAAATTTAATTGGAACTTTTTGAAAAACTCAACAAAATTGCAAATTATTTGAAAAATGAATTTGAAATGAAAGATTTGGAAAAATTCAAATTCTGTCTCGAGTTGCAGATTAAACATTTTCTAGAAAGATTATTTGTTCATCAATTTACATATACAGAAAAAGTTTTAAAACGCTTTTATATAAACAATGCACATCCATTGACATTACATATGGTTGTTCATCACTTGATGTGAAAAATGATCATTTTCGTCCACTTGAAAATGGAGAAAATGTTCTTGGTCTTGAGGTACCATATCTTAGTACAATTGGAGCATTAAGTTATCTTATAAACTGTACTCGACCCGACATAACTTTTTCTGTAAATTTCATTGCAAGACATAGATATACACCAATACAAAGATATTGAAATGATGTTAAACATATTTTTCGTTACCTAAAGGGTACTATTGATTTGAGATTATTTTATTATCAAAAGTTGGGATCTACTTTAGTGTGATATGTAGATGCATGTTATCTCTCTGACCCACGTAAAGTTAAATCACAAACATGTCACATGTTTACATGTGGAGGAACAACTATATCGTGGAGAACTGTGAATGAATTATTGACAGCAACATCCCCAATCATTCTGAAATTATTGCAATCCATGAAGCATGTCGAGAATGTGTATGGTTGAGGAACATGACCCATCATATCAAGCATTATGCGGATCAATTTCAATAAAAGATCGTCCAATAATTTTGTATGAAGACAACGTTGCTTGTATTGCACAACTCAAATGAGGTTATATCAAAGGTGACATGACGAAGTATATTTCTCCAAAATTCTTTCATACACATGAGTTTCAGAAGAATGGTGATATTGATGTTCAACAAATTTGCTCAAGTGACAATGTGGCTGATTTATTTACAAAAACACTGCCAACATCCATGTTCAAGAAATTGGTTTACAAGATTGGAATGCACCGACCCAAAGATTTTTAGTGATTAATATCAGGGGGAGTAACTGTACTATTTTTTCATTCGCTTAGGTTTTATCATAACGGATTTTCCCAATAAGGTTTTAATGAAGCATCATTTATCTTTAATATTCCAAAATAACCGTACTCTTTTTTTTTTTCATTTGATTTTTTGGCCCATTGAGTTTTTCTCAAATAAGGTTTTATCAGACATATATTTTGCAATGTGTTATTCAAGGGGAGTGTTGTAAATAGTAAGTTTATCAGTGAATGACAATTGTACCCCTACATTCCTAGAAATTATTACCATTATATTCCTCATCCTGCCATATAAATATAGAATTTTGGTTCTTATTATAATACAAACAAATATATCGACTTTTATTATCTCGTCTATTTTTCTCTCTTTTCACAACATAGTTTATCTTACTGAAATAATTGAATTGTAGTATGACTATAATTGTCTAAAAAATAATTCTCACTTGACGTAATATTTAATACATTCCATCAACTTTTATAAAAAATCTTTGAAAATTTAATTTTTATCTAAACAAGACGGGGGCTAAATTGAATCTTTATCCAATCCTATGGTGTCTCCATAGAAAACAGTTTATGACCCTCAAAAGTTGTCCCAAGGTTCCGGTTCCTCCCATAAACCAAGTGGCCGTATGTTTACCATCCAACCAATACTGAACTGTCTCTTTGCGAGTCTCTCTCACAATTCACTGCACTTCACCCTACTCTATCCTACCGCCCGTGTAAACTCAATATATAGCCAGCCATTCTTCCCTGTCCTCATCTTTTTCTAAGCAAGCAAGAAACCGTTGCTCGTTGCTCGCTTTCTGCACTGTAAAACAGAGATATAAATACACACAGAGAGAGTGTGCTGGTTCCTATGG